TCCCCGCCCAGCCCCTGGCAACCTCGGTGTCCCGCCCAGCCCCTGGCAACCTCGGTGTCCCGCCCAGCCCCTGGCAACCTCGGTGTCCCGCCCAGCCCCCGGCAACCACTGATGTCACTCGTTGCTAGGAGCTGGGCGGGACGTGAGGGGTGCCGGCAGGGCGCCTCTGCTGATCTAGTAGAGACACTTTTCCCACTAGACTGCTGGGGATTTTTCTTTGTGATACAGGAGCCCTACAGAAGCCGTAGGGGGCCCCTACATGTTCTAAAGGCGGCCCTGGTACCGGATCTCCTTGCCCCCTGACCAGTCGTGTTTGCCCTCCATTGTACTGACTCTGCTTCATTTCTTGCAGGAAGAGAGGGAGAGGCAATGACGTCTCCCAGCTCCCACAGTCAAAAAGGAGCAACCGGAGTCCCACCTTGCAGGACTGGGAGGCGGAGGCCGAGGTGAGGGCCACATCTTTCATTTACCACACGTGGGGAAAACTAAATACTGCGCAGAGAGAGTTCTAGATTTCCCTACAACCTGAGGAGAAAAGCGTCTCCTCTGCCAGCAGGCTGGACAAAGGGGTCCTTTCCACTGTGCGGAAGCAGTGGTCTCTCTGCAGAGGTCCAACATGCCCGCTGGTGAGTTCAATCTGCAAAGCTCACGCTCGGTGCTGATTGGAGGGTTCTGACTCGGCAGGGGGTGTGTCAGACCTCCGCAGAGAGACCACTGCTTCCAGACAGAGAGGAAGGGTCCTCGTCTACAGCGTGCTGGCAGGGATAGCGGCCGTAGGATGAGCTGGAAGACTTTGCGCAGCTTTTGTTTTGATTCCCCCGGATTGTATTTAGAGGATTGGAGCTGAAAGTTCAATTCGGCTTTAAAGAGACATTCAGAGCCTGTGTAAAGGGGGCCCCCGACCCATCATACTGATCACATGACAGTCTGGCACCAGCACTATGGATCTTGTGGTGCGGGCAGAGCCTGGCAAGGGGAGTATCAGTGTGTGGGGGAGTCCCTTAGCACAACACTGTCACTTGGTCCTTAATGGCCGAGGTGACAGTCTCCCATTAGCCACCTTCGGGACCAGCAGACATTGTCCTCATACAAGAGTCATATGTATTGTAATCCAGTGTGAGACTTGGAGCGTCCTGTAATAAAGACCGCTCGCAGCTGCTATCTCTCCTTGAGCAGGATGACTGGTCTCGTCTCCGCCCCCTCCTGTAATACAGACCGCTCACTGCTACTCTCTCTCCTTGTGCAGGGTGACTGGTCTCGTCTCCGCCCCCTCCTGTAATAAAGACCGCTCACTGCTGCTCTCTCTGCTTGTGCAGGGTGACTGGTCTTGTCTCCGCCCCCCTCCTGTAATACAGACCGCTCACTGCTACTCTCTCTCCTTGTGTAGGGTGACTGGTCTTGTCTCTGCCCTTTCCTGTAATACAGGCCGCTTACTGCCGCTCTCTCTCCTTCTGCAGGGTGACTGGTCTTGTCTCCGCCCTTTCCTGTAATACAGACCACTCACTGCTGCTCTCTCTCCTTGTGCAGGTTGACTGGTCTTGTCTCCGCCCCCTCCTGTAATACAGACCACTCACTGCTGCTCTCTCTCCTTGTGCAGGGTGACCGGTCTTGTCTCCGCCCCCCTCCTGTAATAAAGACCGGTCACTGGGATGGGCCCATCAGGCGTCGCCCACTACAGGAAACTACAGAAGGTGGTGGAGACAAACAGTCATCCTTCACAAGGAGAGAGAGCAGCAGTGAGGGGTCATTATTACAGGAGGGGGCGGAGACGAGACCAGTCATCCTGCTCAAGGAGAGATAGCAGCTGCGAGCGGTCTTTATTACAGGAAGGGGCGGAGACAAGACCAGTCACCCTGCACAAGGAGAGAGAGCAGCAGTGAGGGGTCATTATTACAGGAGGGGGCGGAGACGAGACCAGTCACCCTGCACAAGGGGAGAGAGCAGCAGTGACCGGTCTTTATTACAGGAGGGGGCGGAGACGAGACCAGTCACCCTGCACAAGGGGAGAGAGCAGCAGTGACCGGTCTTTATTACAGGAGGGGGCGGAGACGAGACCAGTCACCCTGCACAAGGGGAGAGAGCAGCAGTGACCGGTCTTTATTACAGGAGGGGGCGGAGACGAGACCAGTCACCCTGCACAAGGGGAGAGAGCAGCAGTGACCGGTCTTTATTACAGGAGGGGGCGGAGACGAGACCAGTCACCCTGCACAAGGGGAGAGAGCAGCAGTGACCGGTCTTTATTACAGGAGGGGGCGGAGACGAGACCAGTCACCCTGCACAAGGGGAGAGAGCAGCAGTGACCGGTCTTTATTACAGGAGGGGGCGGAGACGAGACCAGTCATCCTGCTCAAGGAGAGATAGCAGCTGCGAGCGGTCTTTATTACAGGAAGGGGCGGAGACAAGAACAGTCATCCTGCACAAGGAGAGAGCAGCAGTGACCGGGCTTTATTACAGGAAGCTCCCAGTCTCACATGGGATGACTGCTCAGATCTGGAAGAGATACACAAAGCTCAGTGAGATTCGGGGAAGGACAGGCACGTCTCTGGTATGAGGAAGATATTTGTTTCGGTTTAGTTGATACGGATGAGTAATTGTTCCTTTCCCTCCAGTCTTTAGGGAGCGACAGCAGCAACAGTAACTTCAGCCTGGACAGAAGCAGCGGCTCGGACAACCTGCAGACTTTGGGCAGCTCAGGCCCCGCCACCCCTCAGCCGGTGTCCGCCCCGGAGCAGTCCGCTCTCAATCAGGGACCCTACGTGCACATCAATCAGATCCTGAAGGAGGCGCACTTCGCCAGTTTACAGCAGCGCGGCTGCCCCTCCTCCTGACCTGCCCCGCATCACTCTCCGAGGGGACCCCGGTGGTGTCTTGGAGTCGCCATCACAGTCTCGTTGTAACTGACAACTGACCCCCCCGGTAAACGTTCCTCCATTTTGTCGTCCTCCGCTGGCTGCAAGGGACAGTATTTTTTTTTTCCCCTCCATTGGATGGTTTGTGGGGGGAGGGGGGAGGAGAATCGCGCAGACCGTTGGGGCGGTTTTCCAGAGTCTGAAATGGCGATTTTGATCTTTTTTTGGGGGGTTTGAATTGTGTAAATATTATTTGTATTTTCTTTCTTTTTTTGACGGGTGACTTAAGCGAGCACTTTTGGGGGGGGGGGTCCATATACATAAGTTATATCGTCTCGGTTCCCCACCTCCAGTTCCTGGCAGGAAGCGGCACCGAGGGGGCTTTAGAAGGCTTGCCTGCCCTCAGGGGGCAGATTGACCAGCATGCATTGCAGCGCTGCTGCGACGCATAGGGATCGGTAAACCCTCGCAGCCGATCGGAGGTTGGCTGGGAGCAGCGGCCTCCATAGTCGGCGGTTGTCTTGGGGCCAGCAGTTCCACAACGGTCGCTTGGTCCGCCGCGGCCCGTCCTTGTGAAGCCCCATTAGTATAAAGGGCCAAGCGGCCCCTGGTAACCTCTACCTTGTCCTCACCTGAACCCGGAAATGCGGGATGTGATTGGTCACCGTGAAGCTGACAATCCTTATTGGGGCCCCTTTCACCGCGGGGGTTGGGTTAGAAAATTAAGTGCCGGGGCCCCTGGAACAGAAGGAAAGCCGCCGGCCCATAGGAACTGTAGAACTGGTTTCCTTGAAGCGGATGAGCAATGGTTGCCCTCGGCAACAGCTTCACTTTTGCATTAGTCTTTAAACTCTTTACCGCTGGCAGGAGCTGACGCTTTAAGCCCTTTGCGATCACGTGACTGCGTCACATGGTCCTTAGCCCATCCCACCAGCTCCTGATTGTTCACTGGTGGCGGCCAGCGCGGTCACAGTGAATGCATTACTAGCACAGAACGTATGCTGCCCATGTGCATCTATGTGGCAGCAAGGCATAACGACCACCTTTTTTGTGCTGCCGCGTATGGCCGGCGGGAAGGGGACACAGAAGGTTTGAAATAGGAATAGGGGGCCCCTGAGCCACCTCCCTCCATCATATCTGGGAGGCCCCCATAGATGAAGACCGGGCTGCAATGCTTCAGGCACTATAACCCCGGGCTGGAGGGATCCCAGGAGCCAGGTCGCCAATGCGCCTTTAAAAATTGACACCCGGCGCCTGACGTCAGAGGTTTCCTCTAATTGTTGTCAGTGAAGCCGGCTCATGAAATCCTACAGGCGCCCGGATCGGACTGACTGGCTCCTGAACTCCATATTCATTTTTGCCCACCGCTCCGATCAAAGCGAACCCGAGGTGAGATTCCTGGTATGCAAATGTCGGCTTCCAGCTCCAGAGTCGGGACGCTGCGATGCCCTCCCTGCAATGCAGCACCGTGAGGGACGGGAGGGAGCGTGCCGTGGCTCTGCATGTAGGGGGGG